TAAGAGTTATAGGAATACCAGAAGGAGAGGAGAGAGATGTAGGAACAGAGAAAATATTCAAAGAGATAATTGAAGAGAACTTCCCAAATGTGAAGAAGGAGCTGAAAATTGATATACAAGAAGCAAGAAGAACACCAAACTTCCACGACGAAAGGAAAAATACAGCAAGACACATAATAGTAAAGCTCCCAAGAATCCAGGACAAGGAAAAAATAATGAAGCTGGCAAGAGGGAAGAAACAGATAACATTCAAAGGAAAACCAATCAGGCTGACATCAGACTTCTCCGAAGAAACACTACGGGCAAGGAGAGAGTGGAGGGACATAGTCAACAGACTCCAAGAAAACAGATGCCAACCAAGAATACTCTATCCCGCAAAGCTCTCCTTCCTCTTTGAAGAAAGAATATGGACCTTCCCAGACAAACAGAAACTCCGGTATTTCATTGCAACTAAACCCCCACTCCAAAAAATACTACAAGGAGTCCTAAAGCCAGAACCTCAGAGGGACGAATAACAATGAAAGAAGGCCAAAAAAAAGTTATTAAAAGAATAAATAAATAAAATCAAAGGAAAGACAAACACAATGGCAAATACAGATGTTAACATATCAATATTAACTCTAAATGTAAATGGACTAAACTCTTCAATAAAAAGACACAGAGTGGCAGCCTGGATTAAGAAACAAAACCCAACCTTTTGCTGTCTCCAGGAAACACATTTAGCTACAAAAGATAAAAATAGGCTCAAAGTTAAAGGATGGAAAACAATCCTACAAGCAAATGGACCAAAAAAGAAAGCAGGAACAGCTATACTTATATCAGATAAAACAGATTTCAAACTCAAAAAGATAAAAAGAGACCCCAATGGTCACTACATTATGATCAAGGGGACAATACTTCAAGAAGAAATAACACTCATTAACATATACTCACCAAACGAAGGAGCACCAAAATATATCAGACAACTGTTGTCCTCTCTGAAAACAGACATCAGAGAAAACACATACGTAGTGGGAGACTTCAACACACCACTATCAACAATGGATAGATCAACAAGACAAAAAATAAGTAAAGAAACCAAAGCTCTAAATAAGGACCTAGAGCAATTAGGCTTAACAGACATCTATAGAACACTAAACCCCAAAAAAACGGAGTACACATTTTTCTCAAGCGCACACGGATCATTCTCCAGGATCGATCACATACTGGGGCACAAGACAAACATCAACAGATACACCAAGATTGAAATCATATCAACCATCTTTTCTGACCATGAAGGCATCAAACTAGAAATAAACCATAAAAAGAAGGCAAGGAACTTTCCTACCTCATGGAGATTAAAAACCACACTACTGGAAGACCATTGGACTAATGAGGAGATCAAAGAAGAAATTAAAAATTTTTTTGAATTGAACGACAAGGAGGACATTAATATCCTAAATGTATGGGATGCAGCAAAAGCAGTAATAAGAGGAAAATATATAGCAATAGAAGCTCACATCAAGAAACAAGAAAGAACGCAAAGAAAACAACCTCATCTCGAAGCTCAAAGATCTAGAAAAAGAACAACAAAAAAACCCCAAAACCAGTAGAAGAAAAGAAATAATAAAAACCAAAGCAGAAATAAATGAAATTGAAACTAAAAAAACAATCCAAAAGATCAATGAAACCAAGAGCTGGTTTTTGAAAAAATCAATAAAATAGACAAACCCCTAGCCAGGCTCACAAAGGAAAAAAGGGAGAAAGCACAAATAAACAGGATCATCAATGAAAGAGGAGAAATCACAACGGACACAGCAGAAATCAAAAGAATAATCAGTAACTACTATGAACAGTTATATGGAAACAAGTTTAACAATCTAGAGGAGATGGACAAATTCCTACAACTCTACAATCACCCAAAGCTAGATAAAGAAGAAATAGAACACCTAAACAGACCAATTACAATTAGCGAAATTGAAATGGTAATAAAAAACCTCCCCAAAAACAAAAGCCCAGGACCTGATGGATTTACAAATGAATTCTACCAAACATTCAGAGACGAATTAGTGCCTATCCTTCACAAACTCTTCCAAAAAATTGAGAAGGAAGGGACAATACCAAACACGTTTTATGAAGCCAACATTACACTAATACCAAAACCAAACAAGGACAACACAAAAAAGGAAAACTACAGGCCAATCTCCCTAATGAACACTGATGCAAAAATCCTCAATAAAATTTTAGCTATCAGAATCCAACAAAGTATCCATAAGATAATTCACCACGACCAAGTTGGATTCATTCCAGGGGCACAAGGATGGTTTAACATCCGAAAATCAATCAACGTTATCCAACACATCAACAAAAAGAAATATAAAAACCATATGATAATATCAATAGATGCTGAGAAAGCTTTCGACAAAGTGCAACACCCATTCATGATAAAAGCCCTTGAAATTCTGGGGATACAAGGAACATACCTCAACATCATAAAGGCCATCTATGACAAGCCAACAGCCAGTATCATTCTCAATGGTGAAAAGCTGAAAGCAATTCCATTAAGATCTGGAACAAGACAAGGATGTCCACTCTCACCATTGCTTTTCAATATAATACTGGAAGTCCTAGCCAGGGCAATAAGACAAGAGAAAGACATCCAAGGAATCCAAATAGGAAAAGAAGAAGTCAAACTATCACTATTTGCAGACGATATGATATTATACATAGAGAACCCCAAAAACTCCACAGAAAAGCTAATTCAACTCATCAATCAGTTCAGTAAAGTGGCAGGATACAAAATCAACACGCAAAAAGTCAGTAGCCTTCCTATACACAAACAATAAATCTGAAGAAGAAGAAATCAAAAAAACCATCCCTTTTGTTATTGAAACAAAAAAAATCAAATATTTGGGAATAAATCTAACAAAAGAGGTAAAGGACCTATACAAAGAAAACTATAAAACACTGTTAAAAGAAATAGAAGAAGACACAAAGAAATGGAGAGACATCCCTGCTCATGGATTGGAAGAATAAAACATTATTAAAATGGCCATCCTACCAAAAGCAATATACAGATTCAATGCTATTCCAATCAAAATTTCAATGTCATTCTTCAAAGAAATAGAACAATTATTGATGAAATTCATATGGAATCACCCAAAACCCAGAATAGCCAAAGCTCTCCTGAAAAAAAAAAAAGGGAATGGAGGCATCAGACTCCCAGACTTCAAACTATACTACAAAGCCATAATCATCAAAACTGCATGGTATTGGAACAAGAACAGACATACAGACCAATGGAATCGAATAGAAAATCCAGAAATAAACCCACAGATTTATGGTCAAGTAATCTTTGACAAAGGAGCAAAGAATATGCATTGGAGCAAAGAAAGTTTGTTCAATAAATGGTGCTGGGAAAACTGGGTCGCTACATGCAAAAGAATGAAGCTTGACCACTACCTCACACCATACACAAAAATCAACTCAAAATGGATTAAAGAACTAGACATAAGACCTGAAACCATAAAATATATAGAAGGAAATATAGGCGAAACACTACGTGATTTGCACATCAAAGACATCTTTACAGACACATCACCCAAAGCAGTGATAGTGAAGGCAAAGATAAACAGCTGGGACTACATCAAATTAAAGAGCTTTTGCACAGCAAAAGAGACAATAACAAAAACAAAGAGAAACCCCACCAACTGGGAGAACATTTTTGCACCCAACACTAATGATAAAGGACTGATCACAAAAATCTGCAAAGAGCTGATGAGACTCAACAACAACAAAGAAAATAATCCAGTCAAAAAATGGGCAGAAGAGCTTAAAAGAAACTTCTCTGAAGAGGAAATGCAAATGGCCAACAGGCATATGAAAAATGTTCAACATCACTTGTCATCAGGGAAATGCAAATCAAAACTACCATGAGATACCATCTTACACCAGTGAGAATGGCACATATTAAAAAAACTAGCAACAACAAATGTTGGCGAGGGTGTGGAGAAAAAGGAACTCTTCTGCACTGTTGGTGGGAGTGCAAACTGGTCCAAGCACTGTGGAAAACTGTATGGAGATTTCTGGACTTACTAAACATAGAGCTTCCATATGATCCAGCAATTCCACTCCTAGGTATTTACCCAAAGGACACAGAAACATCAATTCCAAAGAACACCTGCACCCCTATGTTTATAGCAGCACTGTTTACAATAGCTAAGCTTTGGAAACAACCCAAATGCCCAAAAACAGATGACTGGATCAAGAAGATGTGGTACATATATACCATGGAATATTACTCAGCATTCAAAAAAGATAAACACATGCAATTTGCAGCAACATGGATGGCGCTGGAAGGGATCATGCTCAGCGAAATAAGCCAAAAGAAAAAGAAAAATACCGGATGGTCTCACTCATAGCAGGAATCTAGAAAACTTAAATAAGGGACCAGGAAAATGAATAACTATAAGAAAGTGAAAATCAAAATCAACAAAAAACTATGAACCAGAGACACTTTTAGGGGGGCGGGGGTGGGAGGGGAGGGATTGGGGTCAGAATGGGGGGGCTGCAATTTTATGGGGAATATAACAATAAAATTTATTAAAAAAAAAAAAAAACTAATCAGGAGTTAAAATAAATAAATAAATAAATAAATAAACATTTTTAAAAAACTAAAAAAAAAAAAAATAAATAAAATAAAAGTTTAATGTATCATTGTGTTACATGCAGATGCTGTCTTTAATGTTGCACATGATTTCCTTAATAGTTTTAGAAATAGCTCTAATCCCAAATGTGATTGGTACTCACAGGAGACTGCATTTCAAAATAGCCTTTTCTGTAATTATTCCCATACAGCAGATTTAGCTGCTGTACCTACCAGAAGGAATTCCTGGAAATATAGAACAGCTGATAAGAAAGCAATGCCTCAGCAGTGCCTGCAGTATTATTCAGGATAAGACCCCCCCCCTTTGACTGTTAAAGATTTGATCTATGTCATCTATACAAGTGGGAAACACTAGAAGCAGTGACTGGTGTCCTCAGGATGTTGGTATTCACGGTGATTGTTTTGTTATTCATGTTTCCTCTGTTGATAAGTTTTTCAGTGAACTTGTATCATTTTGTGATTAGATTTTAAAAAGGTTATTTACATAGTCCTAAAGTTTAGATTCTTGCACATTGCTCTTAGTAATTTTCAGTATTGAAGAGCACACATCCATTCTCTGAAACAATCTCGATTATGTTTGTTATTCCAATGAACCGAATGTGAAGTTGAGTGTGAAGATGTATGTCCTACTTTAACAAAATGCTCTGGAGAGCGAGGCAGCACTCCCGCCTGCCTGTGACTGTGCAGGTGTTTCTTTTCACAGACCTTTGGCGTTTTCAGCTCTCTCTGCCCGCTGGTGTCTGTGCACTGTCCTGTACTTACCTTCACTTTTAAATTGTGCTTTGGATATAACAAAATGCAGAACAATTCTCTGGAGATAAAAATAGGTCTATTTCATCCTGATACATGTTCTTAAACATATTGTGGCAAGCGTTTCTCTATCCCAGCACCAGCTGTGATCACCTCCTATCTTCATTAGGTTTGCCATAGTGGGGGTAGGGCCAGCTCCAAACAGCAGCCTTAGTAAAATACATTTCTTTGCTTTAATAGGTGTACTTATATTGCACCAAATAAAAGGTGGTGCAGGCACACCTTGAAGATATTGTTGGTTCATTTCCAGAATACCACGGCAACCCTAATATTGCATAAATAAAGTCATTACTTTTTTGTTGGTTTCCTGTTGTGAGTGAAAATTGTTTGCTCTATAGTGTCGTCTATTAGGTATGCAGTAGTATTTTGTCTAACGGGAAAATAGCCTAATTAGATATCACCGAGACATGAGGTGAACATATGTTTTTTGGGAAATGGTGCTGCTGGACTTAGCCCAGTCCAGGTTGCCACACACCTTCAATTTGTGAAAAGCAGTATCTGATAAAGCAAAGCAAGCAGGATGGGGTGTGCCTTTATAGACACATCTGAGAACAATCCTTTGGGTTTTAATAAAGTATACACATCTGGATAAGTGGACTTCAATTTAATGATGATGTTTATATGTAACTATTTTTTTTCAGCAGTTATGTCAGCACAGGAGTGTGTGTATTCTTTTCCATGATAGAAAGTACGCTGAACACTCAAGGTAGTGAACAAGGGTTAGCTAAATGCCTGCAGTCTGCCAGGGACTGGGCTATACACAAAGCCTCTTTAAAATTTATTGTGGTCTTTTAAAAATGTCAAAAACTTATAGCTATCATTGGTTGAATCTCAGTTGTAAGTAGAAAATAGGGAGTTTAGTTTTTATTATGCTATTGAACAGCTACAGAGGAAGCACATATGACTTGGCTTCTGCCTAAATTCTTCCCCAGGCTGTAAATCCATGTGTCTGCAGTGAAGTAGCCAGTACTCCCTGCCACCACACTCTGATCCTTTTGCTCCCCAAACTGGACATTACTGTTGACATTTGGGATCATGGTACCATTGCTGTGCTTTATTGTTTTGAATCACTGGTGTTTTGTTATTTATCTTTTTAAAACACTTATTTATTATGCACAAAAGATCTAGGGCACAGGCCAGAGAAGCAGGGGGTGGGAGGACTCACGAGAGACAGAGCGGGGAACAGAACAGGCAGACCAATTGAAATACACAGCTGAAGGTAGCAGCGGGTGAGACAAGAGAGGTCTGCCTTGCCAGGTGGGACACCCGCTGGCCGGCCGGGGATCAAACTGGGGCTGTGGGGACTGTAGACCCCCTCATAGTGCGGTGCTCAACCTCCAACCCCCTGTGCCACCAGGGTGGCCCTAGATTTATTTTTTTAATATTTTATTTTATATAATTCTTACAACATTCCTATTTTTATTTTTATTTATTTATGCATTTTTATGCATACAAGAACTCTACCAATTTCTAATTCAAAGTTTGCTTTTTTTGTTTAAAGATTTATTTTTGTGTAGAAGACCTGGGGTGCAGGCCAGCAGTGTCGGGTGATGAGAGGATTTACCAGTGACAGAGTGGGGAGCAGAACAGACGAATATACTGAAATACACTGCTCAGGGGAGCAGCAGGTAAATACAGGAGAGGTCTGCTGTGCCCTCTGTGGGTCAGCTCCCTGACTGGGGATTGAACTTAGGCCATATTGTGGGCCATTGTGGTGATAATGGTGAGACTTAAGCCCTGGTCTACCAGGGAGGCCCTCAAAGTTTGTTTTGATGTTGAGTAAGCATAATTATTTGTTGAGCTCATTTAATGTTACAGAATACTAATACAGATGTTCCAAAGTTAGTTTGGAGGGCCTCCCCGGTGGCGCAGCGGTTGAGCGCTGGGTTGCAAAACTGCCCGCAGCCTCTGCAGCGCTGGTTCGATTCCAGGCTGCTCCCCGGCCACCGGAGGAGGCTCCCACATGGCATGCAGACCTCTCCTGTCGCCCGCTGCCCTTTGGTCCTTCGGTCCTTCTGTCTTTCTGTCTGCTCTGCTCCCCGCTCTGGCTCTGGTGAATTCTCTCACCCTCCGGCGCTTCTGACTGTACCCAGTGCTTGTATAAATAAATAAATAAATCTTTAAAAAAAAAACAACTGTGGCTCTTAGAACTATAACATCAATTTAAAAAATAAAAAGTTAGTTTTGAAGGTGCACAAAAAATATTTTCATTATGGATCTGATGGTGGGTATTGTCTCAGGGGGCTTGTAAATGTTATCTCTGAGACCTGAGGAATTGGTCTTACTCTTTAGATGCAGACTTTACTATTTGAGGCCAATTGAAAAATTGGCATCTTTGATAGAATGGAAGATATAGTGATCATTTAATTTTACATTAAATAATTTAGAATATTATAATAGCTAATACTCAGAATCATCTGGAATAATTGGAAAGCTGAGTCTGTGTGGGAGACTGTGGCATTATTTTCTCTCTGAGTCCAGGATAATGTATGTGCTATTGCTCGGAAATCCTCAGTGGCCACTTTGTTTTGGTGGGTTTCGAGTGAACCTCCTCTGCTGTTTGTTCCCAATATTTGGTGTTGAGTTTTCATGGTTTCCATATTGTGGAAAATAAGCTAAGGTCATACATGTAACAACACTAAAAGTAGCCTTTCACTTGGGTCTGCAGGTAATGAATTTTATAGAACAACTTGTAGGGTGCTTATTCATCATTAGTGTACATGGAAAGATGGTGACATTTGCAGTGGCAGGTGCCTGTTTTCCTTAAGTCCTGGAAGAGAACAAGAAGAATCTTTACAATTCAAAGATTATAGTTTATGGATCAAGAATTTTTATACAACCTAAGCAGGCTGAGGTCTGAGCATCCCTAACATACAAATGCTACGTCCATGTTCAGGGGAGATCGTCTTTTCTGTTCGCAGTGTATCTGGGTTTTTCTGCTGAAATGAGTAAGTCTCATGTGGCCCTGTGTGAACCACCGATACTAAAGAATCTGTAGACGGTACCTTAGTTAGGATTGCAGGAAGATCATCAAGGGTTAGAACGAGTGATCATTGTGTATGGTTCACTTCAATGTCTGTAATGAAACCTTGCAGGCTTCACTGATTAGGGATGAAGAAGATTGTGGCTGACACCCCAGGATGCCAAAGCTGCTGCAGCCGGTGTGCTCATGAACAAAAGGGCACTGAGAAGCCAGTGTCTTGTCTTAAGTACCTTCCTGTGTGGAACTCAGAACCCCAAGGAAACAGGTGAGTGTCTGAGTTGATGCCTGGTGAGCAGCAGACCAGGTCAGCTTGCCAAGGAGCGGCCCTCAGCCGTGTTCCTCTGACACCTTGGGATCACAGAGCTGTAAGCATGAGGCAGCTCTGGAGCTGTGGCTGCCTAGGCCTTTTCCTATCAGAATAGCATCTGACAATCATATTATTTACTCTCTCAATGACCTCTTTTTGAAGTGTGCTTGCCTGCCGTGCAGAAGCTCTTTGCTATGCTATGAGGTGAGTGTGTACCTTGATTCTTCCATCCACTCAAAGATCAGGTGGGCACTGCTGACCCCTCTCCCCTGGGGTGGCCACTTCCTAGTCCTGCCAGTTGCAACCTGAATCTATTCAACAGTATTGAGCAATACGTTCTTATTTCTGAAATGCCACATTAGATATATAAAATTATCAATATTTATATACAAAGAAAAGTGATAGAATTTGTGATTACTGAATAGTCTAAGTCGTCAGACTCATCCAGATACTTCTTTTACATCTGAGAGAAATGTGTACTGTTATGGAACATCAGATGAAATCCAGCTGTACTTTAATCCCATTTCAATCTATCCTCACAGAAAATATTGACTCTTTTTTTTCCTGCAGACATGCAGCTGTCAACTATCCAACTATGGGTCTAGATTTGCATTACACTTTTATTTCCTACCTGTTCCTTTTCATCTATAACACTTGTCCCATGAAACAGCTTTCACTGTCTGAATATGAAGGCAGGAAGTGCGGTGTCATCAAACCTGTTGGATAATGTTCATGGGCACAACAAATAATATTGGCTAAATTTAAGGGGATGTATTTCTGTTTTTAGAAGTGGTAAAATCACTACTTATCGCCATGCGTTGTTAATGTCATAGTTATCATTCCAGTAAAAATTTCATTTCATACCAAGATGTATGACATTCTGCCCCACCCCCCCAAGTAAAGTCTTTAACACATTGAAATACCCACAAAGTATGTGCACTGGATTGAAAAGTAGGTGAAGTTACAGAAGCTCCTAGGGAGATACATAGACTGGGATCTCTGGAAATCTTAAAGATTTGTAAGCAATAGCAGAGAGTATATATATTGTAAGGATTAGTGAAGACCCACAAGATTGTGGTGATCATTAAATCCAAATGCAACAGTTCAACAGAATAAAACATTATTTCTTATGAATTCCTTCTTAGAACAGTTCTCTTGAACCATTTTTTTCCTGCTTGGTCTTATAAGAATACTAGCAACCTCTGGCTCACAGATCAACTATCCTAGATAATATCATAGTATATTACATCAATTCTTTGGATGTGGACTAAGAGGTCATTGAGAAGGAACATGAGCTTCTTATCATGTAACATCTGATACTTCTTATCAGGTAACATCTGTCACATTTGTTCACTTTGTATTGGGAAGAACGAGTCACATGATCACTCATAACTGCACAGGAACTGGGAAAGCTACTTTTGCATCACTAATTTCAGGCTGTAACTATTATGGAATTGAAAAAGGATTTATAGGTAGCTTCTTGTCTTTAATATAGAGAAATATTGCTATTCAATTGTTCTGAACGTAAGAGGGTGTTTTTGTTGCAGGTTTTGTGGGTTTTTTTGGTCTGTTTATATTTTGCCTGCTCAATTTTCTGGCCAACTAGGTACATATAAAGCCCCCAAATGCAAATTAACTCATATTGGGAACAACAGAATGAAATAAATCTGCAAAAACAAGGTCAGCATAAAGAGCTCATCTCACTAAACAGAGGAAAGAATTGAACTCAATATTCTATATCCATGTAGAAAATGCTTGAATTAAGATGAATGCTTGAATTAATGCTTGAATTAATAAGGTGAACAGATTTTTGACTTTGAGATTCATGTAACATTCACAGTGATGATAGCCTAAAATGTCATTTATATTTGACTGCCTTACAAAGACCCTTTATATTTTTGTGTACAATGAATAATACTCTCAATTCTGAATCTCATAGGAACATCCAGGGAAGTGAAATAATGCCCCAGGCAAACATGCATGAAATTAATTAGCATCATAGAGTAAATGCCACATTTGACCTTATATGGTGGCAGCCCTGTATGAGTCACTGAAATGGCTTTAAAATGGAAATGTTTGCTGGTAGCCCCTGACGTATTCATCTTTTTCTCCCAGTAGAAATACTCAGTGAGTACAAAGGAGATTATTTTTTTTTAAGATTTATTTATTTATTTATATAGGCACTGGGTACAGTCAGAAGCACGGGAGGGTGAGAGAATTCACCAGAGCCAGAGCGGGGAGGAGAACAGGCGGGCTGAGGAAGTACACTGCTGAGAGGAGCAGCGGGCGGCAGGAGAAGTCTGTGCAGTATGTGGAACCCTCCCGGCGGCCAGGGATCGAACCAGCACTGTGGAGGCTGCGGGCAGCTTGGCAACCAGCGCTCAACCGCTGTGCCACCAGGGGGGCCCACAAAGGAGACTATTTTACAATAGTATACACATTCATTTCACAAAGCAAAAGGAAAGTAAGAGGGATCATTTGCATGTCTGGACCTGGGATTTCTTGCATAGCACTCCAACAATAAACAAAATTCTTGCCAGGTCCCCATACCAAAAGCTTTCCCTATGGTCCTTGTGCCCCAGAAGATGAGTGATCTTGGCTCTCTTTTCCTTATATAATAATTTTCTTCTTTTCTGGATTTATTGGACTGCTTTCTATGGAAATTTTCTTCTTTCTCCAATTTCTCTCTCTCTCTCTCTAGTCTATAGGTAGAGTGTACCAATGATGTTCCTGATGCTGGTTTTCATGGAAAGTCTTGTAGAGTTATCCTTTTAGAACGCTCAGGTAACCACACCAGGATGAGGCCCAGATCCTAGCACCTCTTAACAAGTTTCTGTCATGGACCGTGCATATGTGGGGATGGACCCGACTTACATTTCTGGAGGACTGTAGTGCAAGGAGAGGATGAAATAACGTATTCAGAATAGAGATAAAATATACGGGTCACAAATATCCTAACCTGCAGGATTCTCCTACAGAGACAAGAGAGTAAAAATGTTCTGCCCAGACAAACAAAAGCTGAAGAAGTGGTCCACTAACAAATCTTCCCTGAAAGAAATGTTAACAAGAGATCCCCTGTATAATTTGAAGAGAAAAGAAAAAAGAAAAAGCTGAGCAGGGAAATAGAACCAGAAAACTAAAGTGAAAGTGGCAGTAGAAGATCCTCTATAGAGCTCACCAATCCAAAGGCAGAGAGAGGCCAGCCTCGGTTCAGGAAACAAAACCCAAGATTGCACAGTCCCCAGGAGACCCTTCTGACCCCCCAAAATAAACACAGGCTCCCGGCTGAAGGCTGAGTATTACACCAAACCACGGAACAGACTCAGGGATGTCAGAGTCTGGGCCAAAGTATATTGTGCTGCACCATGATGTGCAACAAGAAACATTCTATGTGGAGCCGAGAGCCTTCATTTTTCTCACAATATATTTTGAATAGCAGCTGCTTTGTAATGTTTGCAATAGGATCCATGTCAGGATCTGCAGGTAAATGATGTTTTAGTCATGCTTTTATTTTACTTATTTTTTTAAAGATTTATTTATTTTTATACAAGAACCAGGGTACAGGCCAGATGCACTGGAGGGTGAGAGCATTCACCGGAGACAGAGCGGGGAACAGAACAGGCAGACTGACGAAATACACACTGCTGAGGGGAGCAGCAGGCAAGACAGGAGAGGTCTGCCGCGCCATGTGGGAGACTCGCCGGCCGGCCAGGATTGAACCAGCGCTGCAGAGGCTGCGGACACCTTCACAGCATGGCTCTCAACCACCTGCGCCACCAGGAAGGCCAATTTTTACTTATTTTTTAAACAGATTTCTTTACTTATGAACACAAGAGCTGGGGTGCAGCCAGAGGTGCGGGGGTGGGGGCAAGGGGATTCACCAGAGACAGCGCGGGGAACAGAGCAGGTGAACTGCCTGAAATCCACTGCTGAGGGGAGCAGCGGGGAGACAGGAGAGGTCTGCGGCGCCCTATGGGTCACCTTCCTGCCTGGGGATGTGATGTTGGCACCAGATGATGTGACGAGTCCCTTCACGGTCGCCAAAATGTTGTAGGTGTAGAGTGCGTGCGGGTCCTGGGGGTCACTCTGGGAAAGGTGCCCCCAGAGCTCCCGTTCCAGCGGGACACAACGAGTTCCCCAGCCACGTTTCTCCATGAGACAGAGACACTAGTTACATTAAAGGGCAGATTTAGGGCCTTTCCTGGTGGCGCAGCGGTTGAGCGCTGGGCCGTGGTGCTGCCTGCAGCCTCTGCAGCGCCTGTTCGTTCCCTGGCCGCTGGCGAGGGTCCCACAAAAAAACAGGGCAGATTTATTAGGGAAAGGGAAAGGGACAGGTTTTGCTGAGAGAGGCCTGCATGGTTGCAGGCGGGCGGCCTTGACAGGTCACAGCAGGCAGGAGGCTGCTGCCCTACAGAGAGAGAGTTGATGAGAAGAGGCACCTGCATAGTCACGGGTGGGCAGAGGGATGGCTGCCTTGAGCCCGTGCAGAGACTGCTCTGATACAGCCCTTTTCTCTTTGGGAGGGTCACTCCTCCATGGAGTGGCTGTTTGTTGCTGATGTCAGGTAACAGGCAACACTAGAAAGGGACCAGAGATTCCAGGGTGGGCCCCATCTCCATATCCTTCCCCTCAGGCCTGTGCGCCACTCCCTAGAGCTTCGGATCCTGCTCAGGTGTCCTGCCCTGTGACTAGGCACTGGCGCCTAAGGGTCTGACCTCCACAGCTGGGTTAATGGTCCTGTTATTCCCCTCGACCCCCACCTCCTTGCGTGAGTCAGGTTTTAGTCGCGTGAGGCCTCCTTTCCAGTCTTTCCATCAGATGGAACTCGAGCTGCAGAGGCTGCGGATGGCCTCACAGTGTGGTGCTTAACCCCTGCACCATCAGGGAGGCCCCACGCCTTGCTTTTATGTCAGCTTCAGGTAAGGGGATTTTTAACAACGATTAAAAAAAAATCTTTCCCAGAAATTCAAGCAACCTTGTTTGCTGTTTTAATGACTTGTGGATATTTTAGGGTCTGGCTGTGGCAGACACTGTCAGTGAAAGGCTGGGAGTCGCGGAGCCTGCAACAGACCCGCCTGTGCCTCCTGCCCTGGAGTTATGTTGGGACAAGGCCTGGGGGTGGACTAAAAGTTTCAGGGAGTGACTGGCCAGGAGCCTGACTTGTGCCCCTCAGATGACCAGGTGAGCTCTTAGAAGTCTCCTGCTTCTCTACTCCCTGCTTGCTTCAAGTTGTAAATGTGCCCCTTCTGGGGCCATGGGTGCTCTGTCACCCAATGGCTCAGGGCTCGGACTTTGGAAAAAGATCACCTCTGGGCCTGCGGGATAAATAAAGATGAATTTTTTCCATAACCTCTTACAATCTAAAAATCAAAAGGTAGAAGGTCCTAACTCAATGCAAATAAAGCGAGGTGTGTTAAGAATTGTATTTAAAACAGGACCTCCCCTGGTGGCGAAGGTGGTTGTAGGTGGTTGAGCGCAGCGCTGTGAAGCTGTCTGCAGCCTCTGCAGCACCCGTTCGATCCCGGCTGGCCGGAGTGGGTCCCACGTGGCGCAGCAGACCTCTCCTGTCATGCCTGCTGCTCCCCTCAGCAATGTATTTCAGTAGATCTCCCTGTTCTGTTCCCCACTCTGTCTCTGGTGAATCCTCTCACCCCCCACATCTCTGGCCTGTACCCCAGTTCTTGTGTGCATAAATAAATAAATCTTAAAAGATTATTTATGCACTCAAGAACTGGGTTGTAAGCCAGAGATGGGGGTTGTGTTTGAGAGGATTCACCAGAGACAGAGTGGGGGGCAGAACAGGCAGACTGACTGAAACACACTGCTGAGGGGAGCAGCGGGGAGACAGGAGATGTCTGCTGCACCATGTGGGTCAGCTCCCTGGACAGGGATGGTACTCGTGCTGCAGTTGCTGGTGCTGGTGCTTTATAGTGCAGCGTCCTAACCCCTCGCGCCCACAGGGAGGTCCCTCTCTACTATTCTTTTTTTTTCCCTTTTTGTTGTAAAGGCAATGAACGAGTCACAGGGAGAAGCTTTGTTATACAAAATTTTGTTTTATGAAATATCCAGGCCCCATTCATTATTTTTCCTGCATCTCTTGTAGACAAAGACAACTTTCTTGTATTTGTAAGCTGGAAGGGCTCAGACTTTGAAGGAGTGTCTTGTTTTCACTTTTATTTTTAATTGAAGCTATATACAGCTGTGGATTAAACAGAATAAATTTCTAAATTTAAAAATGAAGAATAGGGGCAAAAGTTGTTTATTTGGGTTGAAAAGCTAGCCGGAGCACAGGTTCAGGCTAGAAAGCCAAACACCCTCACTAAAAAAAAAAAAAAAATGAGGTGACCTTGACGTGAACTCCCATCACTGCTGCTCTGCCCTTGCCTGTGTGACTAGCGGGAGACCATGTTTCATCCTAAAATGTTTTTCTGTAACTACATGGAATTCTTCAGCCTTTTAAAAAATTACTTTCCCCTGCCAAGGAGCAAGGAGGTCATTTTACCAATGGAGTTTCCATCAGCTTCTGTTACTGGTCCTGATAATGATAGGGAGTTGTGTATATTATAGAAAATGTGAAGAGTAGAATAAAATAGGATGAACTGTATCAAAAAGTATTCTTATGACTTAGTACATTTCCTTCCTAGTTTTTCCCCTATATTGGCACTTGCCTGTGTAGAAGGTGGGAAGTAGCTTGATAATTATAAAATGAGCTTCCATTAAATAGGTCAAGGAATGTAAAGTCACATCATCGCATGATCTTCGTCCATAAAGAAGCCCCTATATGGCTGTCACCCATTTTTTCTTGGCTCTTCACTACATATCCTGGTATGTATCACTGCATGTATCATTAAACCTGATTTTAATTTTGTCTGGTATTGAATATTTAAATAAATTAAATCCTGTTATGTTTCTGTCTTGAATGTCACTCAACAGTATGAAGGCAAGACTAGTCCACATTTTGGATGCAGCTTGAGGCTTTTATTTGCACTTCTGTGTAATATTCCACTCGATGTACAGTTGGTTTACATTGTGTTCTACTCACACATAAGGGTTAAGGAGAGTGTGCTTACATCATCGCTAAAATTTTATATTCTACTTCATCATTTAACACTGCACTATAAGTACTGTCCACAGCATTAAAAACTATTCAGTGTTACTGTATCTATCCAGCCTTTACATTTAATTTCGTGTATATTGGGGTTTTTAAATTTAGTTTCCAATCATTTTACTGTAAATAAAGTGTTCTCTGAATTTGAACAGTTCTTTAGGTCATTTCCAAAAAAAAATTACTATTTACATTAAACATTCAAGTATTTTAAATTCAAAGTTCCCTGCAGAGGGGTTGTGAACTTACTTCTCAGGAATAGTAAGGACAGATTTCCTAGTCTCACTAACATTTTAGTCTATCCGGTTTTCCTCTTCAAGGCTCTGGACACACAAGCCCACCGTGCTCTACTGCTCCTGCCTCTGCGCCGGGCCCGCCCCTTCCCCGTGGGCTGTCATGGCTGTTCCCTGCGCCACAGGCCACTCGACTCTGCCCCACAGGCCCCCTTCGTGGTACCCGAGCTTGGCCACCTGGGCCTTTCCTTCCCTTTGGCCACTTGTCAGGGATTTGCTGTCTCGCCACTGATGGCCACCAGGCGGCGCCCTCCCCCGTTATTTTTCACATGGTCCTCACCGCCCTTTCTATTGCCTGAAACACACCGCTGCATCTTATTCACAGTCCAGTCCGTACATTATCCCGTGCTCAGCCGCGCCACCTCATTCCTCCTCCCGCTTCCCGCCTTACTCCATCTTTCTCACCCCTGCTGGCGCTTTACCTTACCCATCCCACTGCCATCATCATTCTGAGTTTCCCCCAACTTATCCCTCTGGGTCACAAGGCGGCGCCACCCGCGCCACCCGCGCCTTCATTACGCCGGGGGGAGCCGCTCTTTGCGCAGCCACTTCCAGTCCGCCGAATTTCAGACCGCGATTTCCACGAGGCGGCAACATTAGTTCCTCTGCTTCTTTAATGTGCCCTTGGGAGCCGCTCTTGGCGCGGCCTCTCGCGTTCTGCCTGGTGCACCCTGGGAGTCTCAAGAGTGATGACGTAATTGCCGAGGGCGCATTTAAAGGGTACATACAGCAAAGGGCTGACAAAGGACCTGCCAGAGGCCTGAAAGCGCCGCTGGCCGCGCCGGACAATGGCGGGAGCTGGGACAAGTGAGGCCCGCGACGCGACGCGACGCAGGGGGAGGGCGGGAGGCTTGAGCAGGACAGCGGGACAGAACAAAGGATGGCAGGAGAGGAAATCTGTCCTCACCATTCCTGAGAAATAAGTTCACAGCACCTCTGCAGGGAACTTTGAATTTAATATATTTACCCTTTTTTAAAAAAAGATTTATTTATTAATGTAAATAAATTAACAGGCCAGATGTGCGGGAGGGGGAGCGGATTCACCAGAGACAGCGGGAAGCAGAGCAGGCAGCCTGACGACACACACGGCTGAGGGGCGCAGCGGGGAGACGGGAGGGGTCTGCGCGCCATGTGGGCTGCTCCGAGGCCGGCGGGCTCGACCCGGCGCTGCGGCGGCTGCGGACAGCTCCACAGGCTGTGCTCAAGCCGCTGCGCCACTGGGGAGGCCCTAAAATACATTTTCAATGGAAATAGTAATTTTAATTTTGGAAATGAACTAAGGAAATGATTTCAAATTCCGATAAATCTTTATGTGTAAAAATGTTCAATAACACTTTATTTACAGTAAAATGATTCGAAACTATCCAAATAAAAACCCCCAATATACACAAAATTAAATATACAGTAACACTGAACAGTCTTTAATGACGTGGAAAGTCCTTCTATTAGTGTTAAATGTTGAAAGTGGAGAATCCTGGCAGTGCTGTGATCCCACCACAGAAGAAACATGTTAATGACACACCCTTAACACCGCAGGGAGTGTCAACAGTCCAGCCGCGTCCGAAATGTGGACTCGTCTTGCCTTCACACTGCTTAGTGACATCCGGCACAGAAACAACATGATTAATTTAAATATTAAACATCACACAAAGTTAAAATCACATGTTAATGATACACACACACACACACACACACACACACACACCCCAGCTGCCACACCCGGGCACCCGCTCTGCCCTTCCGCTGCTGGGCCTGGGGCGGGAGGGGGCTCAGCCCCGAAAGCTTACAACGTGTGCCCCAAACGCCCCCCTAACCCTGCGGGAGTGAAAACGGCCCGCGGGACAGAGGGGAGCCCGCCCCGGGGCGCCCTCAGGGTCCCGAGGAGCCGGGAGCGAGCCGCGGGGGTCACGCTCAGGGACGGGCCCGCCCGTGTGCTCCTCCCGGGCCCAACATAAGCCCCGGAGCCCCCGCATCCAGCCCTTCCCCGCCGGCCCGAGGCCCCTGCGCGTGGCCTGGTCCTCGCCTCGCCCGCCCCACCCGGTGTCCAGGCCTCCTGCGCGCCCCACCTGGCGTCTGTCTCGGGACGCCCTTGGACACCCCGTTCCCTTCCCGAGAGCTCGCGCCCCAAAGCCCGGTCTCCCGACGGCCGCGGGTCTGGCCCTGGGGAGGCCGCGTCCCGGGAGCGCGTCCTGCCCAGCGCGGCCCTCGGAGTCCAGGACCCTGCGCTAGGGTGGGGCTCCGGGGAGGGGCTCCCCTGCCTTCCGGGCTTGGGGGGGGTCACGAGCCTCCCAGCCCCCACTACCGGCCCCGGAAACTTGGGCTGAGGGCGTGGCTGCTCCCTCCCCCGACGCAGCGCCTGCCTGGCCGAGGAGCCTGACCCGCCCGCCCCTGGCGCATCTGGGGCGCGAGCTGCGCAGTTTATCAGGCCCCTGCGCCCCTTGCGCCCCCCAACATGACCTGGTGACTGTGCCGAGAGCCTGTGCGCGCCCACGGCCCTTCCCTGCCCTCCTCCCCCGCCTGGGGGGTACCGCCCACAGCCCTTCCCTGCTCCCCTCGCCCCTCCTGAGCCTGGGGCGTCCCGCGTACTTGCTCAGGCTCCGGCCCCACTAGTGGACTCGGTGTGGGCGGAGGGCGGCGGCTGCGCTCGTGTCCGTTAGTCTGTCTCGAGGGTGACCCCGGCCCGCCGGTGGCCTCGTCTCGTCAGTGGAGGCCCGCGGGGACCCCGGGGCTCGCCGGGGAAGACATTTCTCGGCGCAGACGCCGCGCTTCCCGCGTGGGCCAGTCCCTGAAGGCGCCGCCCCGTCCCCAGGACAGAACGCGCGGCAGGCGCGGGAAGGCGGGGGCGGCGGGGCGAGAGCTCGCTGCGCATCGGGTCGGTTCCCGGGCACCCCGGGCGCTTCTTCCCCCGGAGAGACCCCTGTGCCCCCCTAGTCTGCCCCCTCGGGGTCCCGCTGGCAGTGAGACAAGCGTGCGGGGCCGCGGGCGTCGGGGCGCAGTCGGGGCTGTCATCGTCACCCATGCTCGAACTGGGGAGCCCCGACGTCTGCGGGGAAATCGCTCGGCTCAGCGGTGGGGGATCGGCCGAGCCCGCGAGGTGACCGGCGAGGGCTGGACGCGCGTGCGCGGGCCGCGTCTGTCGGGCTGAGGGCCGCCGTGCGGCCCGGGGTCGGCGTCTCCGCCTCTCTGGTGCTCGTGCCGGCCCCGCCATGTGGGCATGCCCCGCCCCCAGCGTTGTAGTTCCCAGGGCGCCTCCTGCATGCATCGCCCCCCTCCCCCCCCCCCCCCCCACTCCACCCCCCGGCTCCGCGCCGCGACTGGGGTCTCCTGGCTGAGGAGAAGCGGCCCGAACTCTCCGCGCCCGACGGAGGCCGCCCATAGCCCCCGGACGGGGAGAGCGCAGCTGCGCGAGTGCGCGTCTGTTTTCTTGGGTGCAGAGGCGGGGCGACCCCCGCGCCAGCCCCTTCCTCCCCTCCCCCGCCCGCCCGCCCGCCCGCCCTCTCCCCGAAACCTGCTGCGTCCCCTGGGAGGAGGGGTGCAGCCCGAAGGCGCGGGGGCCCCCACACCGGCCTGCGCCCGCAGCGCTCGGGGCCCTGCGCGATCTGACCCTCGCCCGCGTGGCCGCCGCCGCCTGGCGCCGCCCTGCCCGGGCCTGGGCCCGCCCCCCGCTCCCCTCGCCGCCCTGCCTCGCCCGGGCCAGGGACCCCCCCAGCCCTGCGTGCACCCCTGCTCCGCCAACTCCCCACGAAGCCGCTGCTCCCGGGACGAAGGGCACCGGCTCGGGTTTCCCTTTTCTGCCCTGCAGGTCCGGAACCGAGACTGCGGCGGAGCCGCCGAGAGCAGGACGCACGGGCTGCGGCCCGCCACGGAGGGCTGAGAGGGCGGAGACGTCGGGGAGCCCTGGAGGCGCGGGGGGGCGGGGTCGGCCCTCCAGGCTCAGCGGCACCACACACCGAAGGATCCCCCTTCCAGAAGCCACCGCCTTCGGGGCGCCCACTGCCGCAGCACCGGCTGGCCCACTGGGCGCCTCCCTCGAAGACATAATCCCAGCAGGACCCCAACATCATCTCACCGGTCACGTCCCCGTGGTGTGCAACTTGTGCAGTCAAAAA